TAATAGCCGTAGGCACCAGCAAAGTATATTCAGACCAAAATTGTATAAATGAATCACGTATGTTTTGCGCTTTAGATATATTTCGATATTAAATACATTTCTGTGATCGCATAATGTGTTGCAGGGCTTGGTCAGATGTAATCTATACAGTAAAAGCTTCATTATTTAATTACCATCACTTTAGCCATAACTTCTATTATGCACCAATTAATGAGCTGACCTTCACTTCAGTGCCGAAGTGAAATACAGTGTGCTTGATACAACGTGCGTCGTGCTAAGGATGTACAAACAACCGTTATTATGGCCACTAGAGAAGCCACGGTTAGCCAGAAATGTGGTACTATCTGAAAGAATTACTTTTTTTTCCTGCGAACGCTTCTTATCGTTGCGAAACCGCGCTCTGTTTCTGACGTATATAATGGTTGGGAACTCATACGTCAAACGCAGAATGTTTTAGAAGATCAAAAGATTTTTTAAAGGTTAAACCATGCTCTTCATAGCCGAAATGTCAGAACTAAAGCCGATTTCCATTGGAAAACAATCTCAGCATTATTGAAGTTAAACTCGGATGCCTCATAATTTCACAGTCCACATTTTCACATTTTCACACAGACCCCACGTGAACTTAGTCGTGTACAGTCTCCCCTGCCTGAGTGCTGAACTTCTTTGTCTACGCTGCTAGGGCTCTGAAAGACGTGTTAAAGAACCTAAATTCTGAAATAAAATGCATTTTGAATGCGCCATATTAAAATCACGTACCTCTGCTACCCGCTTGGGCTTGTAAGCTGCTGCTTTCTCGACATATGTCCTTCCTTTTTGGTTTCCGGCACAAGCTCGCTGATTAAACCTTTATTTTCAGTTCGTTATTCAACGTCTCGTCGCCTTCACCCATGGCAATATAAACATTAGATCTGTCAACGAAGACACCGTGCCAAAGGGCACCGAGACGTTGCTGAGAAAGTGAGATAGTCCTGAGTTTCTAAAGGCATGAAACAAAAAGGTAGTTGTCCTCGAAGTATGCAAAGGTATAAAATAGTGTTAATGATTTGTGTACACTACTTAGTCGAATGTGCACATTTTATTCCATTCCTTTGGAATAATGCTGAGTCGGCGCTCCATTAACTATATCGAGATATTATAGTTGTCATCTTATTATAGTTTTCTTCTTTAGTGTGACTGCCCATGATGTTGGTTGGAGAACCGCGTTTGTTCGAAACATCAATTTAGCTCTAATTGAACAGCTTAGGACTACTTTGCTTTATCATACACCAGACTTATAGCTACCAAATTTTCTGCCGTTGAATATTGAACTGGACCTAACGATTGAAATCATCCACCTAACACAGATATAAAAGCTGACGAGTTCGAATAGAGTGCGGCCATTTTGTGAAGTCTTTTTTTTATTATTCCACCATCTTAATTTTGAAACTTACCTTTAGAATGCAAATACGCTTTAAGTATGTATTAAGGATTCTGAGTTGATTCAGAAGCTTTAAATGCATAAGCACTTAATACTACCGTACAGTACACCTGCTAATTGTTCCTTATAGTAAAACAAAACATTAATTTAACGTGTTTGTTTCTATAGGCTCTTAAACACTAATAGAGAAAAAAGAAGCGTTTCTCAAATGTCTCAAGGTAACACCCCGGCCTACAGATCCCTCAGGCAGCGTGAACGAATCCCGGGTTAAGTGCCCGCAATCTGACCGAGGCTTGTGAGGAGAAGGCACTATGTCACCAAGTCGTTGCACGTTAAGAGAACTCCCAGTGTTCGAATTTAATCATCGAACTTTTCATAGCGAGTTGCCACATGCCCTCCTTTGGTTTGGTACGTAAGAGGCCCCATATTTCACTTGGTCAAGCTTACCCAGGCTTAGATTCAAACATAAAAAAATTAGAGAATTCTATGTGCTAAAAAGAGCCGTAAAAAACTGAGCGACATTTAGAGAGTACGTAAATTTAGAAAAAAAAAATTTCCAGCTGTGATGGAGAACCGTAATGGTAAGATCTGTGATCTTGATGACTTTGAGTAAACATTGTGTGTTCGGATAACGAACTAGTTAAGAACCGATCTCCATTTCCCTCCTGTTACTGTTCGATAACCTTGTACCAGTTAGAGGAGAGCTGAAGCGTGGGAAACAATTTGCAAAACGTTAAGTACGGTTGGCAACCATCTTATCCACAGCGTTCGACCAGGTTGCACGTATGTTAACCCGTATGTAGCGATTTCTACCGCGACGGGGTGAAGCGTAATCGGCCATGCGAGGGGCTCTCCGCCGCTGGTAAAAGACTGGCGTAGAAGTCAGTGGTTGGAGCGCGCAGCGTGAACAGTCAAGAAATGACAAGGCGTTGTTGAACGAGCGTTCCGTGTCATAGTCCGAGCCGGTCAGCAGCAAGGTAAATCTTACACTGGCACCCAATGTTTGATGCTTCTTGTCTGGGAGTTAGGCGGCATATGAAAAGCGTGCGACTCATTTGTCTTTCAGCGGCTCCGAGAGGTGAGTGCATGATTTTGTTACTTGTTTTCTGCGTGCTCCGGTGATTTTGTTGTCTACGCGAGACATGTTTTGCCGCAACAAGTTTTTCTGCTAGCCACTACTGCGGCTCATTTTGAAGAAACGACAGTGGCCGAACAAGTATCGTGCGTCCTTTGAGAGATACGCTCGTGTCCCGCTTATCGCCGCAGAGCCACGCACCCCAGGTAGGCACGCAGCTCGTGCAACCCTGGCTTTAGGCACCTTTGTTTATCTTCCACGGTCCGTCTCAGTCGGCGATCTTTCGAGCAGACCATATGTTGGAAATTTTTTGGTTTCCCAGGCTATATAATACACCCAAGCGGATTTTCTTTCTTTTATTTTACGGGCAGTATACGACCTCGTCTTGAGTGGCACTGTTGTGACGAGACGTTTCTACCTCAAACAAAACCTCACGGTCGAAAACGTGCACATTCGAGGCTCACAGGATGATGCGAACACCGCCGCAAACTCCTCAACGAAAGCGATCATTGAATAAAGCCAGTGCGACTTCGAGCAACTAGGACTTACCCCTCGCCTAGCTTATAGCAAAGCTGAAGAGGAGCGCAACACACCCAGGCCGCGTCCTTTGCATGTCCTCCCCCGCAGACGTAGCGTCGCAGGAGGGCCTAACAGATGTAAAAGCCGTCGTGACCTTCTTACTTCAGATGCAGCGCGAGCATATATGCAGCGTTTCACACGATCGGTCACCGTCATCAGCAAGCCCGCTAGAGTTTAGCTAAAACTTTCACTGGATGTTCCAAATATGTAGGTTACCTGACCATCAAATAAGTGGGCACTTCATCGCCGAGCTCCAGGACCACCAGGCGGCACCAGGCGTCAGCGACGAAGTGGCCCTCACTTGCATTTTGCCAGTCGTCTTTACGGGGAGTGCAGCAATGTGGAAGCAACGGCAACCAGACTTCTCGAGCATGGCTGACTTCTGCCCTCGTCTCAGAGCATATATGGGTAAATTACTTCCAAAATGTAATCTAAATACAATTACAATTATTTGTTTCAAAAGTAGTTTAACTACAGTTATAATTAGTACTACGTAAAAAGTAGTTAATTATAATTTCAAATTACTTTTAAAAAGTAAAGCAATTACTTTACAATTACTTATTTCTGAGAGCGGCTAGGCTTGGGCCATATAACTTAAAACGGGTTGTATAGAATGCCACATACCTATTTGTTCATTCCTTTACCCAATGTTTAAGGAGGCTTAATTAAGCATTGCTACATAAATGCCACGTATTGTACTCTTTCTTTATGAATTTTATTAAATTCATGATAGATCTTGACAGGTTGGGGCAATGAAGTACTACGTTCTCATATTTAATAAATAATATTAAATAAGTTTATATGCTGGAAGACGCTGAGATAGCTAAAAAAAATTGAGTTGACAGATTTTTTTGTTAGGCAGGCAAATAAAAATGCGACCATTAGTCATATATGAATATTTTACAAGTGTTAATATGAAACTAAAATCCAGATGTGCTAATAGAACCGCATGCACATACAAACAAATGGTGTTATAAATTATTTACATTAAGTTGAAATTATAATGGCTCAGGAATATATAAGAACCCCATTGGGGCTCCCTACTCATTGGTGACAATGCAAATATGCGACAGTACTGGACGAGGGACGTAAAAAAACTGGCAACGAGGATAGAAAGATAACTTCATGGACCAGTGGTTCTCAACCGTCAATGTTTCGCGGACCCCTTGTGGATCGGCGGAGATGGAGGAAAACCCCATTCGCGGTAAGGGAAAGGGAAGTATATAGGTTAATTGTGATAGCGAATCATTAAATGGATAACTAAGGGCTAGTGTGGTGTAGACTTTTCTTATTGGCATACACACGAGAAACCTCGCCCGAAAATTGGAACGTTGCTTCTCAATATGAGGAAAGATAACTTTTATTGCTAGGCTTGACTGATGAGGCTGGGCTGCGCGGACCCCCAAAATGCCTTCGCGGACCCGAGAGGGTCCGCGGAGGCCCATTTGAGAACCACTGTCATCTATGAACTGAAATACAGTGTGCCTGATACAACGTGTGTCGTGCTAAGGATGTACAAACAACGGTTATTATAGCCACTAGAGAAGCCATGGTTAGCCAGAAATGTGATACTATCTGAAACAATTACTTTTTTCTTTTTTCCGAGAACGTTTATTACCGCTGCAATACCGCTTTCTGTTTTTGACGTATGTAACGGCTGGGGACTCATAGGTCAAAACGCAGAGTGTTTCAGAAGGTCAGAAGTTATTTTAAAGGTTAAACCATGCTCTTCATAGCCGAAAAGTCAGAACTAAAGCCTACTTCCGTTGGAAAACATACGCACCATTATTCCGTAGATCCAGCGTCCGAGTTAAATAAAAAGCAAAGGAGGAAAGGCGTTAGTGTCTTTCGAAGTTCAGCCTGTTGTAAGCCAGCAATCAAAGCGCATTAACCGAAATTCGTGGTCTCCACTACTTATCTTTACAAATGTCTGGAATTAAGCTTATCCTGCTACTTTTTCATATCTGCATGGTATATGGAGGTAAGTTAAGCCGGCGTGTTCACATAGCCATCACAATGGACTTTGTTTCGCGTTACTTGTCGAATGCGGCGCCAGCCTCCCTCGATTCTGAACAGAATACCGTTATAATGCTCTACATGACTATGCACTAAAAACTACAAAGTGACAAACTTGGAAAAGAAATACAACCGTGTTGTTGCTTCATTTTCAATCTGAATTTCTCACAACCAACATTAGATAACTGTTGCGTTTTGCTAAAACTACCCAAGCTTACAAAAAAATAAAACCGTGCGGCGCTACATGGCTATTCGAGAATTACAAAAAAAAAAAAAGTTGAGACAATCGTCACTTTTTAAAGATATTCTTCTTCCAACTATTATATATTTTCTGAGCATTAACCCCGACACTGCACAAAACGACCCACCCTATCACGCGATCCCGGGATCACTGGTGCCACCAGGTATTGTCCATTGCAGTTAAGTGCTCTTGGTGGGCAGGAGCTGCAACTTCAGTGGTTTAAAAGTGCATATAGGTTTACTTTCGCCACCAAGAACTAGAAAATGTATTGCGGAATCACATCTGTATTGTAGGGTGATTGACACTGTGCGTCTTCAAAGAAGTTTAATCTCACGTTGCAGATTGGGCTAATGCATCGTTAGGGTGCAAAATGGTTTCTTTTGAGCCAGTTATTGGCCCCCTCTCTTGAATTTGGGAGGAACTGCTGGAAGAAAAATATGGAATACCGTTGATCAGTTAATGTTCTCCGCTTTTCAAGAGCAACCGTGACCACGTGTTCAATGGTTGAGAAAAAGGTTGCCACCATTTGCTTTCCGACACTTCTAGACCTTGATTTTGGAAGGAGGAGTCTCGCCACAAAAGACCCAAACGAATGACGAAAGATGTCTTCCGATATCATATTTGTATATACAGGTTTGGTTGCCCATTAATATTTCTGTCATGTTTTTGACGCATTTAATGGTTGTAAACTGTTTTGACGTAGGTAGGATTGCAAATTTGGAATCTCCGTGGTATTTCTTGACAGCATTCTACCCTCGCAATATTTTCAGCTTCCGTCAAAATGTGTCACCCATCGATATTAAACCTTTCTCACACGAGCGTAATTGTGAAGAATCTTCGAAAACTTGCCAAACTAATCTCCCGGGTCTCCTCGATAGCCTTTCCACTCAATCGAGTGTCCTTTCTAAGGAAACTTCCCTGAGCAGCGATATTTTCTTCAGTTACAACCGTTGATGGTCTACAAGATCTCCCGTCGTCTATCAGAAAGGCGTGGCCACAATTAAATTGTCCGAACTATCGAGATGTTGCAGATGTTACAGTGCAATGTCCCAAAAAGCATGTGACAACCGGTCTAGTGATTTCGACCTAATGACTCCTGTTGAAATTGTAAAGCTTCATCGATTGTAAATTCCGTCTCTCAACATCCATAACCAAACATAAACGAAATAACGTGTTACAATCTGACCTATTCCGCGGCTATCACTGGGCGCCGTTTGGTAGCCTATTGAGGGCAAGTTTTTAATGCGAAAGCATTAATTGTCTTATGAAACGAGCCGACGTCATCAGTTTTAAAGCCGCGTCAAACGGCACCTAAACTTTCTCCACGTGAAACCGAAATCTGATTAATTTCGCCTTAGGTCCCATTGGCTTGTGCGCGCCATAGTTTGAAAGGACGAGGCTCCCATTAACCGCTGTGCGTCAGTTTCAAGGAAGGGCCACCACATGGCGCTGCGTGCCCGCGAGCGCCGCAGCGCCCATAGCTAGCCGGCAATGGCCAGGCGGCGCCACGAAAGTGCTGCATTCAGTGCCACGATCGGAGGCGTGTGTTACTGGGGCGGCCAGTTTGCCCGTCGGGCCGTGGCGAGCGGCGGTGACCCCGATTTCAGCAGTCCTCGTGTGTACGTGCGCGCCGTGTCTCTGGTACTTTTACGCGGTTTTTTTAAGACCATCGGGAGCGTTGACAGGTCGAAGTGTTTAGAGCATATATTCTAGAGTTTGAGTTGTTTTCACCACTATATAATAATCAGCGCCCGATCGGTATGTGCTTCGCTCGTCTCCCAGGAAGTGACACAACACAACGAGAAGGCAGCGCATCGGTTTACTGTACTACCCGGTTGCCCGTCTTCGAGAGCCGCCAGTCTGGACCCGCCGACCCTATAGTTGTCGCCCGTCGTTCTGAACTCGCAGTCGGAGTTCGTGTCCAGACCTGCGGATCGTCCTTCCCGTACGCCAACGCTGCGTAGGCTAGCTGTTCCGGGCTATCACAGCCAGGGCCTCACTGCGGAGCCACTCCGGGATCGTCATAGCCCAGGCCGGTATGGCCAGGGCTCGCGTTTCCGCCAGTCCTGATCCGAAGCTCGCTGGTGGAATGCTCCCGGGGATTGCCATGGGCCCTGCCAGAACGGCTCTATCGTCCCTGCTCGGCCCTGCAGCCTCGTGCAGCACGCTCTTCCTCTTTCCTCGCCGGCTGGCCACCGCTCGCGCCTCGCTCGGCCTCGCTCGGCCGTTCTCTCCTCCTGACGCCCACACACACTAAAATAAAATTTGGGTAATTAGAACCAAACTCTGCATGCTAGAGAACTGTACACACCATTGCAAACCCTTGTGTAAAAATAAAAGCCGTTTACAATTCACTGTAACGCTGGTTGGAGCGCAGCTTTTGAGGAACAGGATGGAAGCGTACTGAGGGACAGGTGACTCCTTATGGTCACGTGACCTCATGGGAGGTCAGGTGACGTCAAGGGGGTCACGTGATCTCGGGGGAGGGAGGTCACGGAACCTCAGAGGGTCACGTGACCTCAGGAGAATCACGTGACCTCAGGGGGCCACGTGACCTCAGGGGGTCACATGACCTCAGGGGGTTCACGTGACACCAGGGGGTCACGTGACCTCAGTAGGGTCATGTGACCTCGGGGGTCACGTGACCTTGACGATGACGATTTGATTACGTCATCAGTGAGGTCACTGATGACGATGACAATGCGGATGACAATGACGCCATCAGGTTGCATGCAACCTGAATTGCATGCAACCTTGATTGCATGCAACAGGTTGCATACAACTCGTTGACTGCCAGTTGCATGCAATTTGTTGCATGCAACTCCCGAAGAAACCCGAGGTCCTCCCGAGGTTTTACCGAAGAAACCCGAGGTCCTCCCGAAAGGACCCGAGGTCCTTCCGAAGGACCTCGGGTTCCTTCGGGACGACCTCGGGTTCCTTCGGGAGTCCTCGGGTGCCTTCGGAAAAATTTACCCATAATGCACCGCGCGGTTACGCCGACGGCGACGGCGACGCCGCTCAGGCCGGAAATGGACGCCTAAGAGCTGCGCTCTAAAAGGCGGCAGGCAACAAACGGTACGTGTAAGAAGGATATTTACGCTTCGCACGAGCTTTTTCTAAAGAAAAACTTTAGCATCCTGCTTTCTGCACGCCGTCACATTTGTTACCAGACTCAGCATTAAATTTGGTTGCTGAAACAGGCAAAACTTTCTGCAACGAAAATGCACAATTTGAAAACTCGCAGGTTTGGAAGGCTTTGGTTGCGACCGCGCGTGCGGAAAGGCATTAGGAGTGCGAGAACGGGCCGACGGGCCTTTCGCTTGAAGACCTCATCACCCGATTCTCGACGACACAGCGAAGACACAATGGGCCCGATTGTTCCTACCGTATTTCCCTATGTGGCTGTCTATGTGGTTCGCAATACAACTTGTGTAAATATGTTATTGTGCCGACTAGTCTGCAAAACGAGTTCGTCAGACTACTTTCCAAGCATGCGCAGATATTTTCGTTCAGTTCCCCCCCCCCCCCCCCCCCCCCCAACAGTTTCTGTAAAATTCACACACTTGATGCGTCGCACTGCAGTAATTTATTTCTGTCGCCTTGTCGGTTCCCAAGATCTCGAAGGGAAGAGGTAAAGTTTGACGGGTCCATATCACATGACCGAATGACGTTTCAGTGAACAGCGACATTTGAGCGAATCGACGTTTTAGCGAATAACGGGGGGTCGGAAATATAAAGAATTCAATCCTATGACAATAACGGTGGCGCCCTCTTACGTTACGGTGATGCACCTTGACTTTTGCCTGTCTCTAAGCTTTGCCAACGGGTATACCAAAGAAACTACAAGGAGGCCTAAGCTGTGACGTGCACTGCGGGTTTGACGTTTCGGCTTGCTCGCTTTTTTTCTCGCGAAAAAAGCAATGTCCCGGTGTGGGAGTTTCGTTTTTGTTTTGTTTTGTTTTATAACATTAAAATCACTTCACATGCAAATTTTAAGCTCACTGATTACAATGCGAGCTCCAGTTCGTTTGCTTCATGCAGAAGGGTTGCGATGATGCCATATCGCTGAGCTCTTATTGGATGATTAAAAATAAATAGTGAGTAGACCTTAAGGCATCTAGCCTTGAAATCTACCTACTATCAATCAAAGCCACTCAGAGCTCGGTGTCGTTCTGACGTCACCGGAATTCCTGCACAAGAAGCACATGACTTGCTCGCCGCATACAAAAATAAGCCAGAGCACGTAAGCCACTGCTATGAGTGTTTTTTTTTTCTTTCTCCTATTGATTATTTGAAGCCGCAATACCGGGTGTCCAAAATAGCGGCCAGGCCCTTTTAATCGACAGCAAAATTCGGTTCCTTAACCTATCGCACTACGATTTTGTTCAATGTTGCCCACGGATTGTGCTTTTTTTTTTTTTTTCTAAAATTTTGCAAAGAGCGAATATACCTGAGGAAAAAGTAAAGAAAAAAAAAGGCTTAACTCCAATGGAAACGCAGCGAAGCTACCCGTCTTGAAACAAAACGACGCCTATTGATTGAAGACCGGTGGCTTCATTGGATTACCATAGAAGTTAAGCCTTTTTCTTTTTTTACCATTTCCTCAGGTAAGCTCGCCCTTTAAAAATTTTACAAGAAAAAAGGAAAAAAAAGCCCCATTTCTGGGCAACGCTGCACAAAATTGTAGTGCGATAGGTTAAGAAATAGAATTCTGCAGTGGATTTAAAGAGCCTGGCCTTTATTTGGGTCACTCGGTAGAATATAAACAAATGTAAAATTGTATGGGGAGCTATCAAATGACGCAGTTCGTTAAGCATCACAAGAATTTAGTCTGAAACTCCTATTTACGTGTGTAAGAGCATACATACGCACAGTAAGGTTGAATGATTTTGTTTATTCAAGTCAAAATATTATTTCGACGTTCTACAGAGTTACGCATGCATTGGTGGTCTTACACAAAGTTTGTCAGCTCTAAAATAAAAACGAAAACTACTCTCTATCGTGAATTCGTGATCTATTACACCCTCAGCACGTGTTGAAACTGCATGTGTTATTTTATAAAGTAACATACGGAATAATACCCAAAATTACATTTATCTTAGTGATCAGGGGGTACCAGAACAGATAAAAAAGATTCCAGCGACTTCTTTATACACACCTGCAGTTCGACTCTGCATATTCAAAAGCAAGGTGCGGCATCACTTACAGCTTGCTTCCTTTTGACTCACATCGCCGCAGATACCACTGAGAAGAGCCGTCACGCATGCAATATTTCCTTTAAGCTGAAGTGCAGACGTAGCCGATGCGACGAGCTGATGGGACCACTGAGAGAGCCTCAAAAAGGCACCATCATGGTGTTTGGCATGTTTCAATCATCGCTGAACCAGTCGCAAACAGTAATGTCCAGTGATTTGCGCTTTTGAGGCTGCTTGATATGTTCAATTAGATCGGAGCGTCGGTTGCGTCTGGTCTTAAGCAGAAACGACGTTTATAAATAGGACAAAAATCGTTCTTTCGTAAAAAAAAGAACCATCTGCTGATTGCTTCGGGTTGCGTACGATCCTGTCACGAATTTGCAACGGTCAATCATAAAGCACGTCGTCACCATTTACTGAGGCCCGTAAACTAGTAATGTACATACATCCACACCCCTCTCAAAATTCTAAAAGAACGTACTGCAAAAAGAAAAAAAAAAGAAAAGAAGTCGTGAGATACTATACCTTGGGCCATTGATTGCAAAACCGGCGTCAAAACTGAGTGAAATTAAATTGCCGCCTAACGCCAAGCTCTAAAACTTTTCGTCGCTTCTGACTCAGGCAGAAATTGCTGTGTCATGAGCCGTAGACGCATTCGCGGAGTCTGAAAGATTTTAGAGGTGTGCGAATAGTTGTTCGAATCGAATAGCGCTGCGTCATCGACAGCCTTTCCAGTTCGAAGACCACCACGACACGACGACGACGGCTCTCTTTTCCGTTGTTGAAGCTATGGGTGACGCTGCACTATTCGATTCTAAGCACTATTCGCATACCCCTGCTCAGCCTAAGTCCAGGACCAGCCGATGCTACGAGGTATTAAAAGTTATAAAACTAATCAAGCAGCGTAAAAAGCGCGTCACTAAGCTCTTTTGTGTCTGACTGTTTCAGCGATGATAGAACACAGTATACAAAAACATGACGAACATCATGTTCCACGGTCCAGTGTACAAAGTGATTGTAGTAATTGTCTATGTATTTGAACAAAGGCGTTAAAAATACTAAGAAAGCACGATACTTTTTTTTTTATTGAACGCAAGGTTAGACTTACCTTATGTCATTCGTGATAAAAAGATAAGTATGTTAATATTTGAGTGAATCAAGGAATTACTTTTAGCGAATAAAAGTTTGTATCACGAATTTCCAAACTCTGTAATGATTATGACAAAATGTACGACGCTAAAACTCGTCGAATACATATTCCAGTGGAGGCAACCCAATGTAATTTAATGACGACATCATGTACCCGTCGCCAAAAAGATTGGCATTTCAATCATCTAATCGGAAGATGTGAGAGGTCTACATCAAGTTTCTGTGGAGGGAAAGGAAATACATTTTCAAAATTCGAACAATGTCAACAGACTTGCGAAATGGGTAAGTTTGAGATATAAAATATACATCGATTGTCCAACCTAAGCACGACCAACGAGAGTCGAAGAAATAGAGCGCTAGAAAGTGCAATAGTCTGCATAGACACAAAACTCTTGCAAAATTCTTCACACATGTTATGATAAAATGGGAATAAAAGAACCCATTTCCTGAATTTTTAATGACTGATTACTTGGTGTAGAACGCAAGATTCATTAGTATTTAACGCTTCTATCTCATTAGTTTTTCCCTCATCTTAGATACTCTAATTTAAATGAGAAATAGCTCGATAGGCATGCAGTTGGGCTAGTTGGCGGTGCATAGCTGTCTGGTGGGAACAGTGCTAGTAGACCAGGACGAGGAAATTTCACACGGACAGGGAGCTGTGTGTGAAGATGTAATGGGTTCTGGTCAAACGAAACAGCGCCCTGTCTGTGTGTTTAATCCTCGTGGTCCTACGATCTCTAGAGCTGTTCCCACCAAACAAATAGCCCGATAAGATCCCTTCAAAAAATACTATATATTGAGGACAACGTTATTCACCGCAAAAGACGTCAGAACATAAATGGGGACGTGATAATTATAAAACTTTTCTGATAAAATTATAGACCTAAATATTTCAACATTCTTCTTGGCCTGCAGATTTTAATTAGAGATTCGAAGGTGTAGAGGTCAACAAGCCACAATCCACATTAAGTCTGACACAAACGCGTCGTTCCGCGATATTCATATACGAAGTTAAACCTTCTCAAGTCCGCCATACCGCATTTAAGGGATAAAAGTCCGACAAAAACCCTAAAAGTGCAAATGAAAAAAGAAAAACCATGTGTATACATAATGCAGGTATAACAGCGCAGAACGAAAAAGAAGGAAGGAAGAAAAAGGACGGGACAGGCGCTGTACCGTCCTGTTTGTTCCTTCGTTCGTGTCTTTGTCGTTCTGTGATGTTTTACCTGCATTATGTATACTCTATACCAACTAGCCCAGCTTTGAACTTTGGAAAAGCCATGCGGTACGTATTTTTGTGTGACCCGAGGGTATCATGCCGCTGGTATCCTGAGCTTACAAATGTTAACTTTAACAGCTTAGAATTGCTTCTGAATAGGGTAAGCACGCCTGTGTTTTACGTATCCACTGATATTACGTACCTTGAGGATGGGCTATATATTTCTGATTGGAATGTACTGATTAGGAAAAATATTTAAAAAGGTTCATTTGTCCTATTTAAGTGATTAGCCAACATATTATTATGTTTCATGTCTGTCCTGATGTCGCCTAATATATGTATATTGTTCGTAATTGTTTTTTCTTATCCGTTTTTTTAAACGTAGGCGCCCTTCAACACCAAGCTGCATATTTTTTTACCTACTTTTTGGCACGCTGCTTTATGTGCTACACTTTTTTGTAAATCGTCATGAGACCTGAAATATTTTGGAGCGATGTTAATATTCACATTTTAAGATGATTAGGTTACGCTGACACCGGTTTGTTACAAACATTTCATTTCTTAAGTTGACCACAATCCTCCTACCGACATCTTTTTTAGTTATCCTCAAATTAAAATTAACAAAAACAAAGTATACTCATCAGTGTTCTTGTGGAAATAACCAACTTAGAACTCTCTTAAACGAAAAGCTTAATTTTTTTTTTTGAATGAACACGTGTATGTATTAAATCTGTTAGGTGAATTAAACCAATTCAAGATAACGAAAGCAAACTGACCTCAAGTTTTTGGAATTAGCTCGTCTTTTCCATTAAGAACGCGACATCTAAAACCACCTTTATGAGCCTTCGAAAAAGTCAAGCCTTTTTGTTTTGGCAGGACGTAGATACCGATACAACGTATTCATTCAGAGCCACCCAAAACATTTCACCGACAACTGAGCATGACGTTGACGCAGTTAAAATTTATGCACCCCAATAAGATCAGTTCAGCAGTTTACTAAACTTTTCGTATGTAGTTCTGCATAAATTAACATAATACAAGACATGCGGTGCTGCTTTAAAGCGCAATATTTACTACGCTCCATCAAATAAACCCCCATAACATGCAGAACAAGTGCCATTCAGAGTTCGATTTTTTATTACGGTCTGGATGAGTAAGCACGTTCCGTCCTGCCTAACGCAAACTTTGCATTTCTTCTTCGTCCCAAAACCCAGAACAGAATATGTTTTTTTTCCAAAAACATATACCACCTTAGTTTCTTAAGTGGCAACTCCGCTTATTTTTTGTTCTTGAAAGAAAAACAATGCAGTTCTTTTCAGTACAACCTAGAAAGACCACACGTCAAGTATTAGGACGTAGTTCTATGTCAATGTTTCTAAAACGATCCGGCAATCTTTGCAACTCGCCAAGTTGTCAAAATCGGCCGACTCAACCGGGCGAACAAAGGCACAACCAAAAAACAAAAACAAAAAGGAAACAAAAGGGTTCAGTGGGGATAACGTTTAGCTGAATATTGACTATGCCCACGCCGTAGCCATGACTGCGATAGTCGTGGCTACGGCCTGGGCACAGCCATTTCTGATGTAAATTTTTCACGGGATACGGTCCATTCGTCACATGCACACTCGTCACAGGACGATTCGTCGCACAGGAACATTCGTCATAGGACGACTCGTCACATGGCCAACCGGTCCCACAATAGTTAGTCCCCCAAAAAATGTATTGTTCAATTTGATTCAGGCGGACAAAGTGGCTCACCTCATATCTTAGTATGTGTGTGGCTTCTCAAAGGCGAAGAATTTGTAACAAAGGTTTTAGCTTCTGTTTCGGTCCCGAACATTGAATGTTGGTTCGGCCTCACAAAGTGGCTCACATCTTAGCATGTCTTTCGCTTCTCAAGGTCAAATAATTTGTAACAGACGTTTTAGCTTCTGGGTCCGTCCCGAACGGTGAATGCGGAGGCCATATAAGAGTGACTATTTTTTAACTCGGACTACATTCAAAATAATGGAGGGGATCGCAACAGAGAGAGGCTGTACACATTCACTCGTACACATTCAGCAGAAAGAATTCCGATACTTATTTATTTTGTCGAATAGGTGTATATGCAAGGCAAAAGTAAAAACTGATTTAGCTGCCAGTCGGACTATTGCTCCTTCAAGCCAGCAACTGAGATCAACCTGCTAAAGACTCGTAATATAATGAAAGTAAAAGCGGAAGAGGAGCATTGTAAAATTAGTTTTCCTAACCATTGGTTTATGTGACAGTGGGACCCTACTGAAAAAAAGTATATGAATCTATATAAGAACTGATATGAAATATCCAAAAACTGATATGCGACATATGAAACTGATATGAAATATCCAAAAACTGATATGCGATATAAGAACTGATATGAAATACTCAAAAACTGATATGTGACATATAAGAACTGATATGCAACATATGCCAGCTGATATGAAATATCCAAAAACTGATATGCGATATAAGAACTGATATGAAATACCCAAAAACTGATATGCGACACATAAGAACTGATATGCAACATATGCCAACTGATATGAATGTGTCTAATAAACATATAAAAAATAAATTCATATAATTTTTTTCAGTATACGACGTGCCGCGCGGGAAAGCAAACACGTGGCCTGGAACCGCAGTGGAGCGGCTTGATTTACTGGCTTTCAAATAATTACGGCATGAGCGTTTACTTTTTATTAAGAGATTTGTCCCCTGAGCCGTTCTAAATACTCTCAGAGGTTCGACATTACTGAAAAAAATCCAACACGCTGAAAATATTATTTATTGCGTAGGTGGTCACCGAAAAACTCCGTACTTACAAAACGACCTGTATAAAAGGCGGAAACGCAGAGCTCCGAAGTAGTTATTGGGTGTGCTGTTGTATTCATGTTTGTTGTGCGTGTGTGTGTATGCACTCAATGTATTTGTTCAACTGATGCTAGTGGTATGCGTAATGTATCTAGATGGTGGCGTGAGTAAATAAATATGTTTTTGCAGCACATGAATTGGGCGGTACCTAGCGCCACCTAGCCTAGTGTGACTGATATGCGGCATAGGAAACTGATATGAAATATTAAGTTCTGATATGAAAAAGGTGTCCAATAAACATATCAGAAAAAAATTCATATACAGTAAAACCTCGTTATAACAAAATGGGATATAACAAACTAATGGATATAACAAATCAATCATAATTCCCCTTGCTCGCTAATAGTATGGAGAAATGGACATTGGCTATAACAAACTAATGGTTATAACGAAATAACTACGACCGCTCCTTCAACTTTGTTATAACGAGGTTTTACTGTAATTTTTTTCAGTAGGGGAAGTCGTGAAAGTCCTCATCAGGGCATGTGGGCAGTTGTTGAAATTTGCGATTTACTATCGTCGCCTGCCCGATCGATGTGACCAGTTGTCCGCATGACGAGTCATCCTGTGACGAATGTTCCTACGTGACAAATTGTCCTGTGACCAATCGTCCTGTGACGAGTCCGCATGTGACGAATCGTCCTCATCCCATTTATCACCGTTGCACCCTTTTGCTTGTTTTTACTTCTCTGGGAAAGCGTAACGCGTGACGTCAGCAATGTTTCCTCTCGGCGCTCAGTGGTATCCACGTGATTGGCGTAAAGGCCTGACCACACTAGCGGCATCGGCGCCGCCAGTCGGCGCCACTGGGCGGCACCGCCGTCCGACTGTCTCAACGCGAGGAGGCCAGATTGGCCTTTATTTTGCGGGCGTTATAGTCACGTGACTGGACGAACTCTCGCGTTCTCGAGATCGCGCGCGCGCCTCCCGCCGGATTGTCCGCTCCTTCGTAGTCTGCTTCTTGTTAAATTCTTCCGTTTCGGTTCTAATCTTGCGCATATCTCAGCATCGAAGCCGCAGTCGCTGCTTACATGGTAGGTGTCGATGATGACCTGGTGACCAGCGTGAATGTGATCATCAAAGCCTGCTCGTTGATTTTGCTACGTCGCCACGCTCTGAATGAAAGGAGGCGCAGATTTTGGGTCCAGCCGGGTTGGTGCTACCGAAATAC